TGACATTATTTATTTCGGCGACAACGTTAGCTTGTTTTGGACTAGCGCGGCATACCTTCGCGATGTGACCCTTGCGCGAGCATTTATGACACTCCGCATCTCGGAAAGGGCACTTATGTCGCGGGTGAGCGCCGCCGCAGCCGTTGCATACCTTGTCAGTAGTCACTTGCGGTTGTGACTTTGGTTTCGCTGAATTGCTTTTCCGTGTCGACTGCGTGACCGCTAAGACGGCGACGTTCGGTTGCTTCGTAGGGTCTTCGAGAATTTTTAGACCTGACGCGACACTCATATGGGCTTCGAGTTCTGCCACGACGTCTTTGAGTGATGCGTCTTGGTTTTTTTCGACGACGCGGAGAGCGATCTTCGTTAACTCGTCGTTGTCGCTAGAATAACAGAAAGACTGTAACAACAAGAGTGTTCAAAGGTTATCGTCTGTTAATTTAGATCGATCGAAGTCGGCTGCATGACGATTGATACGGTCGAGATGTTCCGTGATTGGTGTAGCCTTATCGTATCGATAATTTAATATCTCGATGCGCCTACGAGTAAGCGGAACTTTGTCGCGAAAGAGTTCCTTGAGCGTCGATAGGAGTTCTGGTTGAGACATTTGAGATGGTTCCACCGGTGCGATGTGGTCCATGCGCCTGTCAAATTCCAGTTGTCCAAGCTTGTCCAACACAAGACGTGTCTGCATCTGAGCCGGCAAGCACGCTGCTTCTGTGACCACCGTGTATTCGTGGCGTAGCAGCCATTTCGAGAATGGCTTGGTTTCGTCGCCCGAACCGTAGCTGTATTTCTCCACTCGAGCGCTTAGGTGGTTGTATGTACTTGTATGCGACGACGTGGGAGCTTGAGTTGTGTTCTCCTGGCTACCTCCCTGCTGGTTGAGTTGCAGTTGAAGGAGAGAATTGACGGCAGCTGTAAGAGCTTCTATCTGCTTCGTTGTGTCGGCCATGTTATCGTGACTTCCTTCGTTACCATAGGTTAGAATATGTTTGTCCTTGCGACTGCGCCAGTTGTTGAGTCCCGATGTGGACGTTCGGGATGGTGTCTCGAACGAGGAAGGAAAGGACGTAAGGCCTAGGACGATGACAGATTGCGAGTCTCGTAATGTTCACGTAAGCGGTCTTTATTCGGATACACCGATGTGAGCTCTGTGCAAGACCGGTAAGAACTAACTGATTGGACGCTCCCCCTCTCTCTGTATGTCGCTGTCGCTGGCAGTGGCGGCGGCGTCGGGTGACGGTGCCCAACACTTTTTATCTTCCACAAGTTTTTGCAGTAATTTATATTTTAGTCTTTCGATTTCCATAAGTTCTGTATGGCGGGTTTTCTTCTCTTTTGTCTTCTTCATTGCAATATATTTTCGCTGTTCCAGTTCAACCTCTTTCAAATTAAGCTGCCTTTTTTTTAACTTTAAAGTTTGTTTCTTAGTCTCAACAAGATTTGCATATCTTTCATCTTTGGTACGATCGCGCTCTTCTTTTTTTTTTGTGAAAAATGCAGCCACTGTTTTTCGAGTTCAATCTTGGTTGATGCAATTTTGGAACCTGTTCCATGACACAGACGCTTACGATTTTTCACGCCAAGAACATGTGAATCTGCGCTATCACTCTTCGGTAAGGTTTTCGATGGATTGGTCGAAACTGAAGAAAACTCAGACGAAGATTGATTTTCCAGAGAAGTCGAAGTACTACAATTGGATATTGGCAATGTTAATTTCGATGATATAGTTTGTCCAGCAATGACACGCTGTCGTTGTCGGTCCGAGAATTTCATCCATTTGTTCATAATACTCAAAATCCATGCGAGCCCTTCCCGATTGTGAATTATTGTCTACCACTTCTTTATATCTTTTCACTAAGGCATTAATTTTCCATCGTACTTGATCATTTGTCATCTAAAATGTAATCGCAATGTTAAGACAAACTTTACATTTAAATAGAAAAATAGAGAAAGTAGTGCAACTGCTAATTTATACATATATCTATATCTGTATTTCTATAGTATTATATAGTATATTTTATTCGTATGTATGTTCGGAACTAACTTGAAATCTTTTTATTAAAAAATGTACTTAAGATTTTAAAAACTATTAGCCTTGAACCCTCCAAATGTTCAATTCAGAATGATAAGTGCATAAGTAATAACATCCTACAATGCTTCAATTTTTTGGCCCAAAATTTGCAAGTATTTCACATAAATGTATACTATATATTCTCTTTAACGAAAAACTTCTTATCGAAAAAATACCTTTATCCCAAACTCCAACAATCCACTTCTTGTTGCCTCCCATATTTTTCCTTTCTTTTTCGGATGATCCATCATTGCCATATTTGCCTCATAGAGGCTTATAAGCGCCAATGTTGCTTTTCGATCCCAAATGGCATCTGTAAAAATATCAATGTAAAATATTCACATTTTGATAATGGCTGTGTTTCGATATTCACTGCCAGTACTGAAAATGTATAGTATACGTGACGTAAACTATAGATTTGCAGTACTAGCAGTGAATATCGGAACACAGCCAATATTTATTTCAGTTAAATATTACATACGTTCTTTACTTGTTGATTTAGAAAGTTGCGGCGTGTTTCCCTATCTAAAAAAGGCATGTTATTGATATTGTTGTCGCTTTTCCGCGATGTTAATTGGTTGTTGGTTGTCAATGACAATTCCCTGTGACTTGCTTCACTCGTGTTGTCAAACTGTCACGTGAAATGCATGTCACTGCTGTACCGCCGTCTCGAGTGATTTACTAAAATTATACCACCAGTAGCGTGTGATATATCGTCCGTCTTGCTCTTTTATATAGAAGGCAAAATTATATCGTATTGGTGCGCACTACAGGTATACCGACATATATAACTTTTTTTTCTTTTCATTATGCAATTCGCGACGTAACGTTGTCGGTTTTTGTAAAGGGGCTTGCAGAAGCAGACTTCTTATAATGGTATAATTAATATGTCAATAATGTGTCACTGCTGTACCGCCGCCTCTCTCAAGAACAATCAGTTCACGAAAGCACAGAGCAAATTACTGGCCTCGCATGCCGATGTCAAGACACATGAGATTTTGGTACTTCTTCTACGACTACGACAGGCATGTTGCCATCCAGCGTTAATCCATTCGATGCTGGATCAGGAAGACGTGAAGGAAAGCGGTATAATGAATACGGAAAACGTGGATGCTGGTTTCTTATCCCGTGTGAATAACATGTCGCTCCATGACATCGATAATGTGGAGGATATGGTACGATATTTGTTTAAGCAAAAAATATTGCTTTATGTGTGTAAAGTCTTGTGTCCACAATCCAAGAACTGTGTTCAAGTTTTAGTTCCGAAAAATGTGTAACCAGTCAACTTGGATTTTTTATGTGTCATCTACAATGTGTGGAGTAAGCTTGGCGTTAGGAGTAAGAGAGAACCATAATCTTTAGCTTTTGGTGTAACGAAGCTAAGATACAGGCATAATTTTTTAAATATAACACTGTCCACGATGGCGTCTTGATTCGCCGAGAGTAAGCTTGAGAGCTGAAATAGGAGTGAGAAAAGGATCGTCTACAATAGATGAGGTAAGCCTGGCGTAAGAAGTAAGAGTAGGAGTAAAGAAATGATTCATTTCCATTTCTTACTCTTACTTCATCTCTGACAATTACTGCTTACTTTTCACTGCTGTACCACCGCCTTTCTCAAGAACAATCAGTTCACGAAAGCACAGAGCAAATTGCTGGCCTCGCACGTCGATGTCAAGACACATGAGATTTTGATACTTCTTCTACGACTACGACAGGCATGTTGCCATCCAGCGTTAATCCATTCGATGCTGGATCAGGAAGACGTGAAGGAAAGCGGTATAATGGATACGGAAAACGTGGATGCTGGTTTCTTATCCCGTGTGAATAACATGTCGCTCCATGACATCGATAATGTGGAGGAGGAGGAAGATGTCGGTGTTGATCAGAGAATAGTTGAGAATCTACTCACCGCTGAGAATCCGGTGTTTAATGATGATCGCATTGGTTTTAAGGCAAGTAATAATTGTATAATCTGAAAGATTTCACCATTTAATGAGATTAATTGTATAATATATAATTATTTAGATGAAGGTAGTGCTTGATTTGGTTAAAGAAATTTTACAAAAACGCGACGATAAACTCATTGTTTCCCAGTGGACAAAAATCGACAAGTATGAATTATATAAAATTATATAAAAGTATATGTAGATCAATACTACATATATTTTTTTTGCAGTTTATTCTGTTACAAAAAGAAATAATTACAGGTTTTTCTTGTAGGAAATAATGGATTCTTTTAACAGTCGTAATTCTGGTCCGAGAATCCCTGTTACTCTCGCTTACCCGCTGGTGGTGTGAGATTAAACTTGGTAGGCGGCAATCATTTATTGTTATTCGACATTCATTGGAATCCACAGTTAGAGACGCAGGCGCAGGACAGGATTTATCGTTTTGGTCAAACGAAGGATGTCTACATCTACAAGTTAGTAACATCATTGTTGATTTCCACATGCGTAAGCCCCGTGCAAAAGTTTATATTAACATTTTTGCGTTTCCATTTTAGATTTATTTGTGCTAATACAATAGAGAAGAACGTATTAAAGCGTTGCAAGAAAAAAACTCGAGATAGCGCAAAATGTACTGAGCGGCGATAAAAGTAACACAGCCTCGAAGCTTACGTTCAACGATCTCAAATCGCTATTCGGTTTTTAATAAATTTAACTTTGTTATAAGTAGAATTAAACGGTATGCTGATAAAATTTGTTTTATTTAGTCATAATTGAATTATAGAATTTATTTTATTTAAGTATTATTTTTTAAATAAGTTTTTATAATGATTTTTAATATGTATTTTATAAACATTTTATAATGATTTTTAATATGTATTTTACTAAATGGAACATATTGTATCGCTATCGTGAATCCTCTATGGACCGTGTATTTGTACTTTCTTTTTATTACCATATAACTTTGTGTATGCATTATTTTAACATATGCTTTGACTGTTTTAACTATGGATATGTACCAAATAAACACTAACAAATAAATAATATTATAAATTTTTTATTTGTAATTATTATATGTACAACATGTATTATATTATATTTATTTGTTTAGTTATTTGTTTATTTTGTTTATTTTTTATTTATTTATTTGTATTATATTATATTTATTATGTTGCTTTGCTTTATGTCTTCCATTGGTGACAATATTTATATGACTTGATGAGAATATTTTGTAAAATTTCTTTAACCATATAAAACAGTAAATCAGTCGATGTTGCATTAATCACATTAAATGGCGAAATCTTGCAATCGGACCATAGAGGAATAATATTTTTTTAGCTTAAAGAATATAAAATGTTATTTTGAATGGCTGTTTATATATA